ATTACAGGCATGCATCACTGCTTCTGGCTACTGTTCAATTTTTTTTTTAATTTATTTAGTACAGGGTCTACTGGGTCTTACTACACAGATTGGACTTTTAGTGATCCTCCTCTGTTTTCAGTCTCCCAAGCACTGGGATTACAGGCGAGCACCACCATACCCAGTCTCAATTGCTCTTAGTACACCCCAGGGACAGGGCCGCCATGCACGCTGGAGATTGAACCTTGGTCTCTGCATCTGCCTAAGCAGGCAGTTTAAGCCTCTGAGCTATCTGGCCAACCCTACAGTTCAATATTTTGAGAGAGACTGCATTCATGTTTTATTACAATATACTATTAGAATTGTCCTATATTGCTAGTTGTTGTTTATCAAAATTATTGTATTGATTTATAAGTTAAAGTTTATCATAGATGTGTATAAGAAAAAACAGTGAATATAAATAGGGTTTGGTATTTGTAGTTTCAGATATTAACTGGGATTTTGGAATGTGTACCTCAATGGGGTATTTTATAGGCTTTGTGGACCCACATACAATCTCTGTTACATATATTTCTTTCTCACTGCTCTTCCCTTTCTTTGAATAGCACTTTTAAAAATGTAAAGAACAGTCATTGCTTACAGTTTTTATAAAAACAGGATTTGGTGATTGTCCATTTCTGTTCTAGAATGTTTTTTTTTTTATTTTGAAATTGGCAATTTGGTTCCCTCTGGTATTATACTCAGGTGCTTTGAAACTCATTGAATTTGGTACTTGATGCATTTTGATGTGAAAATTTTGTCATGATACTTGTCATTTGGTACTCTGTGCAGCAGCTAGGATTCATTGGTGTTCATTGCCACATGACTTGCTTCCTCTTCTAGCCAAAACAATTTGTTCTTCATCATTTTTGATGCTGACTTTTTGATAGTCATGAGCCTTTCAAATCCAGTTTACACTGAATGCTGAGGTACTATTACTACTGAGATACTCCTTTATCCTGTTCATCATATAATTCAGGTTTATTTCAGTTTCAACTTTTTGCTGAAACAGCATGGTGGTGCATGCCTGTGATCTAGTGCTGGAGAGGCTGAGACAGGAGGATCACTACGAGTCTGAGCTGCATAGAGAGACCCTGTACCAAATAAGTAATTAAATAAATAAAAGATTTTTTAAAATTTAAAGAAATATTTAAAATTTCTACCACATAGATGGTGTATAGGTATAGATAGGCTAAACAAAATTTGTACTGCAGGCAGAATACAGTAGAATGGTGCTGCTTACAATTTATAACATTATCCAAAGTGGCCTACAATTTAAGACATACAAATTATTTATTTCTAGAATTTTCCATTTTTGACCAGTTCATCTCCACATGGCTGAGACTTTGAAAAGTGATATTATGAATGTACATTGCTGGTGAGAAAAAATGTGCAGAACAATGTTTAGAATAAACTGTCTTCATGCAAGAAGGTGTTGGAGAGCTAGGATTGGTAGCATATGTCTATAATACCAGCACTCCTGGGTGACTGAGGTAAGAGAATTGAAACTCAAGCTGAGCCTCGAGGATTTTGTGACTTAATGAGATCCTGTCTAAAACTAAAAACTTGCAAAGGTCCTGTGTTCAAATCTCAGCACCATAGGAAGGAGGGTGTCAGAGAGAGAATTTTTTTAGCATATCTCCACTGTACAAATGTCTATTTCTATAGGTATATATAATAATGTGTATATATAAGTAAATATATGATGTATATAGACATATTTTAAAGAATGAAGAAATGATCCCAAAACTAATAAAAATGATTATCTATGGAGTAAATGAGGAATCAACAAGTGAAAGCTAGACTTCTTTGAATATGCTTCTATTTGATAATTTTCTGTTTTCATCAGTTAATACAAATGCAAAATGAGGTTTTGTGCCTTTATAACACCAGCCACCACTTCTCTAAATATAAATATATGACAATTTTTGTCTAATTCAATTTTCATTTCTTGCTTTGGTATGACTGTTGACATTTTTTACTAAGCCAAAAAATAACTGTTAATTCTTCGTTCATCTAAGTTTTGATTATATCTTAGAGATATTATTTGCCTTGCTTTTATGGTTTCTTGGGGGGGGTTGTATATTTTTTGTTTAAAGTACTTTCAAAGTTGATTTAAATAAGGAATTTATAAATGTCATTACTTTACCTTGTTTTTATACATGAAAGAATAAAGGACAATTCTAATGATTTGTAGCTACTAAAGCTTTTGCCTTTTTTTTTTTTTTTTTCTTTTTCAATAGTACACTACACTGCAGAGTGGTTGGATCAGAACCTGAAAGTTTTGTGTGGAATCCTAGGTGCCAGTATCTATACATCTTTTGTTTTAAAATTTCCCATGTCCTATATGGAGTTACATGCCAACATTCATTATGCTAAACAACCAAAAGGAATTGGAGGTCTCACTATTTTCAATGTACAGACATTTGTATAATTGCACTTTTTTTTCTTAATATAAAGACCTTTGTTTTGCATGTACACTTCTAGTTTTTAAGTCTAGATGATCTTTGATTCATTTTCTCTAAACATAAACTTGCTATCAGTTGTTTGGATTATATAGACATGGCCATTTCCTGTGTAAATTGGGAAGTAGTAATGTCTTGGTCAAGATCGTTATAGAGATAAGAATATATTAACTATTGGTTAAGAAAAGAATCCATATAATATTAAATGCCTCACAGGATCCTTGTGAGAATTGGACAGGCTACATACAGGATAAATTTCTGAGAATGAGTCGAAGGTACACACAAAAGTGAACTACTAAAGGAATTTTCTACTATGATTAAGAATTTGATTTACACTGAAACAGAAAAATGTTTCTAGAGCTGTGGGTGCTTGCCACATCTGCATTATAAACAAAATGCCTATTTTCTTCCTTCCTAATTTAGTTCTGAATGTAAGTGATGTAAGAGTATATGAAAAATTAAAAAAAAATTAAACCTTGTAGGAACCCTATGTGCATTTTTTATCTAGGAATTTTAACTGGCGCAGCCTTTGCAGGGTAGAAAAGCAAAGTAAGAGGTTACTTCAGTGTTAAGGACCAGTAATACTTGCCGTGGGGAGTCTAGTTGTTCCCTATTCAAATTCAATTTTTTTTCTTTTTAGTCCCACTTTTACCTGTTTTTAAAAAATATAACTGTATTTTGAGGTTCATAGCAAAATTGAGCAGTTATTAGAGTTCTATATGTTTTTTGACCCTTCTAGCCTTGCTTGATGTCAACACTTGGCTCCACAGTGATATATTTCTTACAATCCCTGAAGCTTCAAGGACATATGAGTAATAATTAACTAGTACTAGTGCACACTAGTGTTTACTTTTGTACAGGTTTTGACAAATTAATAATACAAATTCATTATATTATTATACAGAATAATTTCACTACCCTCAAAACTTATTTCTTCCTATTCATTCCTTCCCTTCCTGTAACCACTGGCCACCAGTGATATACTTTGCCTTTTCCAATATTTTTGGAATCATATAGTAGATGGCCTCTTCCAGTTGAACTCTTCCACTTAATATATATTTAAGGTCTTACCATCTTTCTATGACTCGATAGCTCATCTCTTTATAGTGTTGACTAATGTTCCTTTGTCTAAATTTACTAGGTTATCCATTTGCCTACTAAAAAACATGTTCCAAGTTTTGTAAAAATAAGTAAACATCCATATGCAAATTTATTGTGGATATAAATGTTCAGCTCACTGTGATAAATACCATCCTTGTATAGTATGCATGTATTTGATACTCTAAGAAATTCACAGACTGACCTCCAAAGTACACCATTGTGCATTCCCACCACTAGTGAATGAGTCTTTTTGCCTCTACATCCCTGTCAGCCTTTGATGTTATCAGTGGCTTTGATTTTAGCTGTTGTAGTAGTTGTATAGCGGTATCTCATTTTAATTTGCAGTAAATTTTGTAACAACATAATGTTGAGCATATTTTCATATGCTTGTTTGCTCTGTATATATCTTCTTTGATGAAGGATTTTTTAATTTTATTTTATTTTTTGCTCCGAATGCCTTCAGGGCAGGTTTGGCTGGCTTGAGTTGTGGGGATCAAACCACAGCAACCTGAGCCTCACTGCTTTGTTGAAGCAGCCACTTAAAGAACTGAGCTAAGGGGAAGGCCCCCTCTTCTTTGATGAAGTATCAAAGATCTTTTGTCTATTTTTTAATCAGATTGTTTTCTACATGTTGGGTTTTCAGAGTTCTTTACATAAGTTAGACAGTAGTCCTTTCTCATATATGTCTTTTACAAATATTTCTCCTGAGCTGTGACTTATCATTTATTTGACAGTATCATTGGCAGAGTTTTTACTTTTAATTAAATCTTAAGTTTTGAGCTTTCCCCGGGGTTATGGTAAAACTACTTTATCCATACTGGTATGTTCATCTTCATGAAACTTTTTTTTTTTACTTCTAAGTGTGCATTCTAGTAAACGATTTCCTACATCTCTTTCATCTCACCCTGTTTTGTTGAGAAGTCTTCTCTATTTGTGTCTGCACTTCTGTCTCCTTTGTCTTAAACATTTGACCCTTAATTCATTTTCAGAGGAATTTTAGAAATTACAAGAAATAAAATATATATTCAGCCCACTATTTAACCACAAATACTGGTTTAATTCTATTGTTGTTTGACTCCTTATATAATCATTTAATGTATTTACCCTTTCATTTTAACTATATTTATTTTATGGGTTTTTTCATTATGCCACATGGGACATTCTTAAAATCAGTCAATGCTATTATTATTCATCATTGAATATGGCTGTGTCCATACTAGTTTTCTTTTCATAATGTTGTCTATAGTAGTTAACTTCTCAAACCTTAGGAATTAGCGTTTTATTTCAGAATTCTTTCATATTGGTTGATTAAGGCCAGCAAAAAAAGATTATACCCACATGAGCAAATTCTAATACGTTACTAATAATACAGTGGTAGATAAATTCACAAGTAATAATTTTGATCCTCCATTTTAGAAGTTTGGGAAGTTGATGAACATATCAAGAAGCAACAGAAAACACTTGTGAGGAAAGGCACATCCGTCTCCAAGAAAACTCTGATTAAGGAAAAAGTCAATGAATGTAAAAAAGTTGCAAAACTATTTCCTCTGAGCTCAGATATTATTACCTCAAGACAAAGCTTCTATGAATATGACTCACTTAATAAGGATCTGGAACAAAATTTAGATTTATTTAGTTATGAGAAAGGTTGTGTAACAGAAGAAAACTTTGAATGCAATGAGTTTGGGAAACCCTTTTACCATTGTTCATCCTATGTCATAACTCCTTTTAAATGCAATCATTGTGGACAAGACTTCATTCACAAATTCGATCTCATTAGACATGAGAAAACTCATGCTGGAGAAAAACTTTATGAATGTAAAGAATGTGGAAAAGCCTTCAGTAGGAAGGAAAATCTTATTACACATCAGAAAATTCATACTGGAGAAAAACCTTATAAGTGTAATGAATGTGGAAAAGCTTTCATTCAAATGTCAAACCTCATTAGACACCAAAGAATTCATACTGGGGAGAAACCTTATGCATGCAAGGATTGTTGGAAAGCTTTCAGTCAGAAATCAAATCTCATTGAACATGAGAGGATTCATACTGGAGAAAAACCCTATGAATGTAAGGAATGTGGAAAATCCTTCAGCCAGAAGCAAAATCTTATTGAACATGAGAAGATTCATACAGGGGAGAAACCTTATGCATGTAATGAATGTGGTAGAGCTTTTTCTCGAATGTCATCTGTTACTCTGCATATGAGAAGTCACACAGGGGAGAAACCCTATAAATGTAATAAATGTGGAAAAGCTTTCTCTCAGTGCTCAGTATTTATTATACACATGAGAAGTCATACGGGTGAGAAGCCTTATGTATGTAGTGAGTGTGGGAAAGCCTTCTCTCAGAGTTCATCTCTTACTGTACATATGAGAAATCATACAGCTGAGAAACCCTATGAATGTAATGAATGTGGAAAAGCTTTCAGCCGGAAAGAAAATCTTATTACACACCAGAAAATTCATACTGGAGAAAAACCTTATGAATGCCATGACTGTGGGAAAGCTTTTATTCAGATGTCAAACCTCATCAGACACCAGCGGATTCATACTGGTGAGAAACCCTATACCTGTACAGTATGTGGAAAAGCCTTTAGCCAGAAATCAAATCTTACTGAACATGAGAAAATTCATACTGGAGAAAAACCGTATCATTGTAATCAGTGTGGAAAAGCATTCAGTCAGAGACAGAATCTTCTTGAACATGAAAAAATCCATACTGGAGAGAAACCATTTAAATGTAATGAATGTAGTAAAGCCTTCTCTAGAATCTCATCCCTTACTTTGCATGTAAGAAGTCATACAGGGGAGAAACCCTATGAATGTAATAAGTGTGGCAAAGCTTTCTCTCAATGCTCATTACTTATTATACATATGAGAAGTCATACTGGTGAGAAACCTTTTGAATGTAATGAGTGTGGAAAAGCATTTTCTCAAAGGGCATCTCTTTCTATACATAAGAGAGGTCATACAGGTGAAAAACACCGAGTGTACTAAATGAAGGCAGGCCTCTTGTATATTCAACCTATGATTTACTTAAAACATCTTAATGTAAGCTCAGAAGAAAAAAAAAACATTGAACAAGATTGTTTTGGAGAAACAGGAAAACTTTGTTGGGCATGTGTATGTATGACTTGAGTAGATAAACCATATATATTAGTGATAAGCCAATATCATAAAATTGTCAGTTCTCAAAAAAACCCCTATAGATTGAATGCATTTCCAAGTTTTTAGCCTCAATTTTCTAGGATCTTTGTAAAATTATTCTAAAATTCATGTGAAAGAAGTCTGTGGATTGCTAAGAATTTTGAAAAACTGCAAAGGAGACACCCTTAATGTGTACTGTCCATATAGTTATAGTCATTAAAAAATATATGATATTAGTGCATTACATGGGGTTAACAGTTTTAAAGGATAAAGTTTTAAACAACAGACCCATGAGTATATATGAATTTGTTAAATGTACCATTTTAAGGTAGTAGGAAATAATGGCCTAATAAATAACAATTTTTAGAATGTTGACTATATCAAGGGAAATAAAATTATGTATGATCCTCCTACAATTATAAAGAAATGATATGCTAAAGAATTTTAACACTAAAATATCACAAATCAAAGTGTGAAGCCACTGGGGGACAATATAGGTTATTCTCTGTTCCTTTCAGGGAATGAAGGGTTTTCATTTTTGTTTTTAAAAGAATCCTACAGTTCCATTTCTGGTCTTCATCCCATAGAAATTCACAAGTAATGTTTTAATATCCATAGACAGATAGATCCTAGACATTCATCAATGACTTAATGGATAAATAATTTATGATATATTCAAATAATGGAATTGTGAGACCCAGTTAAAAACAGTTAGATCCTTGAGGGCCTGCCCCTTAGCTCAGTTCTTTAAGTGGCTGCTTCAACAAAGCAGTCAGGCTCAGGTTGCTGTGGTTTGATCCCCACAACTCAAGCCAGCCAAACTTGCCCTGAAGGCATTTGGAGCAAAAAAAAAAAAAAAAAAATTAGATCCAGGGCTGGCCAGATAGCTCAGTGGATTAAAGTGCCAGTTTAGGCAGATGCAGGGACCAGGGTTCTATCCCCAGCCTGCCATGCTCTTCCTGCCCCTGGGGTGCACTGAGACAGTGATTGAGACTGGGCGTGCTGGTGCACACCTGTAATCCCAGTGCCTGGGACACTGAAAAACAGGAGTATCAAAAAATTAAATCCAAGTTGTATAGTGAGGATAGTTACCTAAGACAGTGTTGAATGAAAAAAAAAATGAAGATACAGATGAAACATTATATAATGTTCATGTAACTGGGAATGAAATCATTTCCAAAAACCAGAAGTTTCTATTATTGAAATATCTATGTAAGCAAAATTATTTAAGATGAATTAGAAAGATACATGCCTCATTATTGATTGAGTTGTCTCTGGCAGGAAATGAGTTGGGGATAGTAAAGACCATTAACTTTACATGTATTTTTTATGCCTTACAAAAGACTAGTACCATATAAAATAATTCCTAAAAGTTGCTGATACCACAGTGGTAATATGATTGGATTGTCTTAATAGTGTTTTTCTATTAATTTCTCAGAATTAACAGGTCAGGGGAAGCCCATATTCATAGAAATGTTATAATGGATTCTTATAATCTACCAGATGCTGAACTATTTTATTAAAAATGTTTTCAATATAAGTAATAAAAACATTTCTGGAATATTCATAGTTTCAATATTGCTCATGATATAATATGAAATTAATGTATTTTATTAGTTTTTGCATTTAATTATGAAATTAAAAAATCAGATATCAATATAACAACTGAAGTGTGTTTGCATTTACTATTTTAGAGTGTAATGATCTGCTCATGGTTCCTGCCCTTTTAGTGTGTCTGTCATTACTTTTTTTTTTTTTTGGCAATGCCAGGGATTGAACTCAGAACCTTGTGCTTGCCAGACAGGCACTTAAGCCGCTGAGCTATATCCCCAGCCCTGTCTGTCATTACTTAACAACAGATTTGTTAGGTTAATAGTTAACTACTTAGTCATGTGTTTAGAGTTATTGTGAAATTAATGAGTTTCCTGAGTATTGGACTTGGCAGTGTTAGTGTTCTTAGCTTGTAAGTTTCCATATAAGAACATAGATGTCATTCTTAATTATTTCCTTGAGGTGGTCATAAGTAATTTTGTAAAATTTCATATTCATAACATATAGAATCATATGGACACTCCTGCAACTCTTGACTTATATATAGTGTATCTAGTTTTGGTTGGAAACAATGGTGATCTCACATTCTGAATAATAATTAATAAAAATTCTCCAAAAGAATCGTATTCTCTATAACATACTTAAACCTACCTTATGGTATAAAGATTGAAGATGGTGCTCTAAGTTAAGCTTTTAACTTTTATTTATAAATATCAGTTGCTTTTGTTTGAAGTTGATTTCATAAAAATAAATGTGTGAATAAAAATTGTGAAATGCAACCATGATTGTGTAAATGTTGATGATTTTTAGGTATTTTGGAGATGGACAATGATGTTTTATGTAGCAAGGACTTAATTTTAATGAAAACAACATCTTAATATAAATGAGTATTGTCATTTCATATAAATCTAATATTGTCTGCATAGCTGATATCTGCAAACATTTTTTAGTTTTCTAATTTCATGCATTACCTGCCTGAGAATTTCTTTGTAAATATTTTCAGTTGAGAAATATTAATTTTTGTCTAAACTGTTGCTTTGCTCCATGATTTTCTTCCTTATTTTTTCTCTATACTTCATGTGCCTTAAATCTTCTGTCTCTTTCTTTACATAACTTTGGTGTCAGCAGAGTAATTTAAAATTTCTATGAAGGTTCAAAGCCTAACAACATCCTTAGATTTCCTCTTTTGGGCTCTCCCTGATTCCATAAAACTAGCTGAGTGTATCAGGTGAGAGAAAATACTTGGAGAAAAAATGCATCTAAAGTCTAAGAAGAGTGTTTTACTGATTAAATGTCAGCAAGCAAGTGATCTTGTCTCTATAATATATCCTCCCTGTCTGAAAGGGTAAAAATAACAATGTAGATATAATTGACTGTGGTAAAAGTTTAAAAGAATATCAATCAAATCTTGCCAAATTCCTCTTTTACATGAACACATGAACTGCTACTGAATCATTTCTATTCTATATTTCAAACTACATAATGTAGAATTCCTGTGAGTGACCTGGGAGCACACAGAATAAAATATATTATAAGTCGCTTGGATTAGCAGCAATAGAAATTGATAAATTTGAGATATATTTTGGAGATGATTTAATAGAATTTTCTTATGTAAAAAGAAGATTTAAAGAGTAACTCCTTATAGCAAGTAAATGGCTGGATGGTAGAATATTTGCTTAATATGCAGCAGACTAGTGAGAAACAGTTTAGGGTCAAGATTGGGGGGATAGAATCAAAATCTATTATGGACTTTTCTATAACCCAAAAGCATACCTTCAGATAAAATTTCCTATACAAATAATTTGAGAAGGAAATGCTTTCAGTATGGACGTTGAAGATGTGGAGAAAGCTGGACAGAAAAAGGGAATGAGTCAAGGATATTAAGTGAGGCATTACCCTGCCATAAGTCATTTCAGCTTAATCATAGGGAAGTTTTGAAATGTAAGCAATAGCTCACACTTTATAAAATTCTACCTTTAGCAACTTGTGCTTCCAGTAGCTAAGAATCTTGTCTGCTGACAAATTACAGTTAAGTTCCACTACCAGAATCACTCTTGAATGAAAAGAGTTGCTTTATGCAAGTTTACACTGTCTCTTGAGGACAGCCTGGACCCCCTTGCCTCAACTTATGACAACTGAAGGGACATCCTAGTTTTAGACCACTCATGAGAAATTACAGCTACATTGCAATTCAGTTTCTCTTTTCACCCAGTTTACTTCCCTTATATCTTAAAACTGGCGATATTCCCAAGAGCTTTCCTCAGTAAACCTAGCTTAAATTTTCATCTTAGATTTTGTCTGCCACAAAACCTAATCTAGGGGCTGGAGAGATGGCTCAGTGGTCTAAGGCACAACAAGCTTAGCAAAGCATCAGGGACCGCGGTTCAATCCCCCAGCACCACATGCCAGCCAGCCCCACCCCCTGGTGGGCTGAGCTGGCCACACACACACACCACACTCACTCTCTCTCTCTCTCTCTCTCTCTCTCTCTCTCTCTCTCTCTCTCTCTCTCTCTCAAATAAATAAAAAAAATTAAATAAAAAAAAAACCTAATCTAAAACAATGGAACATTTTGCAATAGGCATTATTCCCAAATTAGAAATGTTTAAAAATGTATTTGAAAATTAATGTCAGTTTTCTTTACATGTTAGTATAAATATTTTGTGAAAATAACTTGAAAAATATTTAAGAGAAGCATTGTGAAAGCATCGTGGCATTTTACAAATACCTTTAATGACTGAATGGAAGATAGCTGGGTTCTCAGATCTCCTGTATGCAGTCTGTACCAACGTAACTTTCACATAGACTGGGACAACTCCTCTGTATACTCATGAAAGAATCAGAATAAAAAGGAAAATAAAATCTTGGTATTGTTTTGAAGATAGTTCCGACCTCAAGAACCTGTAAGTATTCCCTGACTACTCTTTAAGAACTATTTTGACCCCTAGATTAATTCCAAAAAGTCAATATTGTGGACTAAAAGAGGTATTAGGAAGAGGTACTAAGGGAGGTCCTGGCATGATCTAAATGTTACCCAAGATGGAGAACTTAGGAACCAAAATGGAATGATGGGTAAAGAAAATGTTAGAATAAGTAAACAGAAACAAACTGACAAAAAGAGCAAAATGAGCTTACAGATTTTTTTTTTAATGAGGTACTGGAAGACTGATATAATTGAGAGGCTGAAATGGATTTGACTTAAAAGTATTTCAGATCCCCTTCACTGTTAAAGATAGGACTAATATTTTGCAGTGCAGATTTTATAGGATGTGAGAGATCATAAATAAATATCCTAAAATAAGATAACTGATTTTATTGTCCTGTCACTTAGTAGCCTACGAGTTATGCAGTGCAGGACTGACATAAACCTTTATCATTTTCTGTTACCTCTATCTAGTGAGGTAGCCTTATTCTGATGGCCATAAGTGGCATGCCATCACACGTATGTCACAATGCACTGAGTAGAGAATGTACTTAAAAAGCACACTGGTGCCTTGTCCTT